GCGCGCGCGCGCGCGCCTTTACATTTCCTTCTGTTACAGAAGAAGCCGTGAAGAGGGCCGTGATGGCCGAAGTGCAACGAGCCGTGAGAGTCGCGGTAGCCGAATCGAGGGCGAGCGAACGACTACGAGTGCATCGAATGCTCGACGTTCCACTGTCTCAGAGAAACCATGGACCTCTCCGTCAAGGACCGTATCTTCGAGTTCACGGTAATCCAGTCGATACGAATGCCAGAACAGTCACCGCTACACCGACCAACACTGTTTCCAATTCTATCACGTCGATCGGCGAGGACGAAAAGGACGCGCAATTGCAGACCGTCTCGGGATCCGTGAGTAATATACTGGTTCACTGTTTGGAACTAATGTTTGGAAAAAAGTCTCGCGGGACGGGACAGACGCAAGAGGGGTCCTTCGCTTATCCCCACTTCGAACGCTTTGTTGACAATCCTGACACCTGACGCTACATAGTAGTAGAAAAGCTATAATTTGAACATTCAAAATCGTAAAAATTATTCTCATTTATAAAGTTACGTTAGAATAATCATTTAAAACTGAATTTCTAGCTTATTCGTACACATATAATTATTATTTTTACTATTTGGATACAAAATTACATTTATAAATTAACCTATTTATTACAAATTAAAATTAACCTATACATTTGCCTACGCTAATGCATAAAGGTTTACAGATGTAATTTTGGATTAGTATACGTGACAAATACCATGATAAAAACAAAAATGCGTATGAAAATTTCCTTCCAAATTAACCACATTTCTTTCGCGAGATTTCATTCCAACAGTAAACAATACTTGCCACGTATCGACGCGCCAATACGATTTCTTCCTCTATATTCCATACCTTGCTCACCACCAATCCGAATCCACTTTCAGAGTTGTTGGAACTGCGGCAGACCAGCCTTGGAGACGTGCGGTGGTTGTGGAATCGCACGGTATTGCGGCTCCTTCTGCCAACACCGGGACTGGGAGGCAGGAGGCCATCACGCGACCTGCAACAATCCTCCGCCTCGTGAACCTCGAAGATCAGCGTCTCGAAGCCCTCCCAGAATCGCAAGCGCAGCTCAGTCGAGCGTAAACGAGGCAAATATCGTCGCGCCTATACCGGCCAGTGGTACGACCAAGGGGAAGTGACGTTACGACGGGAATTACTATCGACTCAGACGATTCGCTAGACCGGTCCAATACGATTCGCGCTGACTATACACATCACACACACACACGCACACATGCACATCCTTTCTTCTGACGGAGAATCATACATCTTCTGCTTTTCTTTCTCCACTTTCTTCCTACGCTTTCGCACTCTCGGCAAACCATACAACCATTCAGTTGTACAGTTATAATAGTTTAAATATCCTGTTATTCATCCAAGGTATATTACGATACATTTTGTCGAATTCATCCGTTCGCGTTAATCTTGGCGAGTTAGAGAGTTAAGCGATCCCTTGCGTATCGCGATATATAAATACAAAGTTGCGGGAACAGTACATTACGCGTGAAATGAAATTTTTCCCTTTTACGATTGTAGTTGTAATACAGTTCGTCGAATTCCTTCTTTAGAATAGTACGTGTAACGGTTCGTTGTACATTGCTATTTGATCGAAGCGACAAAGTAGAGATAAATTATATAACATGTATATATCTCGGATGATAGATTGTTCAAATAAACGAAATTCTTGTCTAGCAATGAAAATGTGAAGTTACGTTATCTTTCGATACAACGAAAGTATGAATTAAAAATATGAATCCATTCACGTCGTCCAAACAATAAACAGTGATAAATAAACTTAATACATGTTATACATTCTCTAGGTCTCTACGAACATGTAGCATAAAAAAAATCTTGCACGCATAAACAAAATATTTGTTATATAAATAAGTTGGAACAATTTTACATATATGATTTTGCAATATTGTTTTTTCACACTTAGAACCGTATATTTGGCACAAAATGCGATCAATTTAAATTTTTCTTCACCGTAATCGATACAAAGTGTTATATCGATATTTTTCCTAGTCAATTGATAGATTAATATAATCGCAACGAGTGATAAAACTGTTGCAACGTTTTACTTTACGCGCGTCACAGTGCATGGACGCATGTATACGTTTATAAGTCTAGTCACTGTCGAGTCGAGAATCATAAAATGAGTTTATCCGTCGCGCGCATTAGAAAACTTTGCTCAAATTTAGATTACGAGTCGTTGTATGTTTTTCTAGCTACGTTACGTTGCGGGGATGTATGATGGATTCTATAGATTGTATTTATGAATTAACGAAATACATGATTATTCTGTGTCATAATGCTTAAAGAACGAACATCGACATCTTTCTTTTCTTGCACACGTGTTTACATTTAACAATTTATTTCTCTTTCTTGACCGAATTCCCTATTATATTTGCGAAAAGTGCTCTTGTTTTCTCTTCTTTACCTAACATTTCCATCCAATCCTTCTTGTTTCTTGCGTACAATGGAACGTTTAATTTGTTCAACATTATTTGTCCAGATTTGGTCGAACGCAAAGATTCTCCGGCTGCTGCTAATTCTTCCATGATCAAAGTTTTCTGATTCATATGCGCCGATCGCCATATTCTATCCAAGCATCTGGAGCCATGTGTACTGCGAGCCAATCGCGACCAGTATCCTTTCAATTTTTTCCCAAGTTTTTCCCTGCTTTTCTCACCGATATATTTGCTGTCCATGTAAGCATCCACGATGCGACTTCCTTTTGGATCTTCAAACAACCGCACTACTTCCTCTATGTCAGTTTCCAACAAGGAATTAACCATTTTTATAGGTTTATTAAAATTGAGTATAGCCTGTACTATTAGACTTCCGTGTAAACTGATCAAAGATTTCGAATCATCTTCCTTTTTTTCTTTTAAATTTTCTAATTGATCAGATGTTTTTAAACTTACCACGCAAGCCACGATAAGATATTGTTTCTCGTTTCCTTCGCAATGGAGAGTTCTTAAAAGTTCAGTTACAAATGCACCCTGCTTAACTTGCAATCTTAAAGACGCATTCGCCACACTAACTAAAATTCCTGTAAAACCTTTTTCAAGAATTTCAGAAAAATGCACGTGAATCTCTTCAAATATCTGTTCAAATTTTTCCTTTACCGTACAATGATCAAATAGTCTTTGCACGCTGAAGTTTGTATTTTGCGTCAATGACAATTGTTTCAAATTGCCTGAAAAATATCTTTCATAAATATCATTAAAAGATTTAGGATTTCCCACTGATAAGCAAGCCTCTAACAATCTGATTGAACTTTCTGTGTTAAAAATATTTGACAATTGTTGATGTTCTCCAAGCTTAAAACATTCGTTTGTAATCTTTTTAACATATTCTTCCACCATACTTGGGAATGTATCCTTTAAAGAATATAAAGCACTTTGCAATAATCCAGATGTAAGTTCATCTTTCCCAAATTCTAAAAAGCAAGGCCATTTGTATAATCTGTTACATGTTGAGGATAATAAGTCTTTATACTCTTGTATGACTGGTCGTCTTACATCAAATATTACTTTTTTTTTATCATTAGCTTCAGGCTTATCGATTAGACCACCAAGGCATTCGATAACAGTCCTCAAAAGATGATTCGCATATGTATCGTACACAAACTCCTCTATATTATTAATAAAATATTTACTTAGCTTTAACACGATGCTGTTGTAAGATTCCACTTCCGATTCCTTAACCTCTATATTGGCATCTACACTTTGTTCAGCATTAGATTCTAAAACTATTCTTTTATTTCCTCTATCAGCGCAAACCATTACGATCTTTTGTAAAACGTGACTAGCAAATCTGTCATTACTGAGAAGTCGTAAAGAAGGATTGAAAGTAGTAACTAACCTTTGAATCGTTTCCAAATTCGCGTATTTTAAAAGTGAATCCAATATTCTGGATCCCACTTGATTTTGGGCATATTCAATTTCGTGTCCAATAGTTTGTTCGTATACATTATTCACAAATATTAATTTCTCTTCGACAGTAGGAAAATCACTTTTCATCAATTCCAGAATACGTACCATATATTGATATGTATCATGATCTACGTCAGATCCATGATTCCTTTGTCGTGCGAATTTTTTTGCCATTTGAGCACACGATCGTTTCTTTTTTCTCTTTTTACTTCTTTCATCGTTCCAATTATTGTTGACCATATTTTAAAATGATTTTTCACACAAAGCAACGTTTACATAACCTTTTTATCGCGTGCACGCGACGTCGTTCACAATTTTATGCACAAAGTATAGTAAATATAGACAAGAATAGCACATAACGAGAGAAAGATAGAGATAAAATAAGAATTGATTGTCAGTACCATCTATCGAGAATAATTGACTTTTCTTCAAAGAATCATCTTTTTAAAAACATTCAAGAGATGGTACTGATCCTCAATTCTTACTTTTCCTATTATTGAAATGTTTTTACATATATATCATTAATAATTTCATTTTGCTGAAACATTATATAAGTTTGAACATTTTTAAATATTAATTTTTTTTATTATCTAAATTTATATATATATATATATTTTTATCATTTTTGCAACATGAACACTTTTTTATAGTTTTCTTAATTCCGAATTTTTATTAAAATAACTTATCTATGATGTCATTATGATGTCACAGGATACATTAAAAATACACTGAGTTTTCCATATCATTTGTTCTTTACTTTATTTTACACACTCGAATTAATCTACATAAATCTTTATACGTCGTATCGTAATTCGAAAATTCTTATCGTCTGGCATATCAGTGCGTTTTACTTTAACAAGAAAAAAAATTCTGTAATGGACGTAATAGTGAAGAAACATGGAAGAAACAAGAACTTTCGAATGCGGTTCTTTGGATCTCACTAGCCGTTTTATTATCCCGTAGGCTCGGATCTTTTGTAATGTCTTCCAATCAATGATTGTGGATAATTCTCGATTAGCGCAAACGAATGTCTATCGTAGTTAATTAAAGGCCCCTTCGACTGCTATCACAAATAGAGAAAAAGAGCATATTGAACGAAAATAGTTCTCATCAAGGACAATAAACTTCTTCCTTACCTAATAAGAAATATATCTACGTATATATAATAAGAGAAAGAGGATCGTTGTTCTTCTGGATTGACATTGATAAATTCGTGGGTCAACGAATGATATATGTTTCCTAATAATTAATCTTCCATAAATTTATGCGATGCATGATTTTGCAGAGACATATGAAATGATGGATTGTAATTAGAACAGTTCTTGAATAGTTAATTTTTCCGATGTCTCCGTAATATTACAGGTACCTTCGAGCATCAATAAGTTTTTTATAACGATGCATTAGATTGTATTCTAATAACTTCGTTAGGACTTGTACAGATAGAAGCGACCATATCGGTTGCTATCAAATCGCCAATTCAGTTTCTACTAATTCCTTAAACAAGATTTTTTATCTACTATAACGCGTAAAAGTTTACAATCAAATAGTCGAGAAAGACGGATTAAAATGCGAATAATTTGTAGCTGCACGCGTCAAACAGCTCCGTATTCCTCGCTAGATGGCGATTCGTCATTAGGAGGTGGCCTAGGCGGTCTGGGTGGTCTAGGCGGTCTGTGTAAATGTACACCAGGAGCTGGTCTTCTCGGAGGTGGTGGAGGATGAGTTCCATAAGAGGTGTCATCCCCTTCTTCACTGCTAGGGGAAGGGGATGGTGCTCTGTCTTCTTGTTCTTGTAAAAGTTGTCGAAATTCTTGAATAGATTCGTTTAACGACCAAAGTTGAGCGAGCAAAGAAAGATCCAATTGTCGAAGACCAAACTGAAAAAAAAAAATCAAATTGTAAAAAAATATTCATTATGTTTTAGATATTTTTATAAAATGATCAAAATAACGATTGTTTATTTATATATACATATAAACAAATATGTTTTGCCGATAAATATTTGTAATTCAGTGAAAAATAGCGATTATGTCACGAAAAGCATTAGAGTTTAAAATTTATAAACTGAGAAAATATATTTTCAAGACCAGTAGCAATTCTTGTGGTGCTAACCGTGAGAATGAAGGGATTAGATAAGAGGCGCAAAATGAGAATGGGAATGAGAGGTGTCAGCGTACCAAGAAAGAAGGTAAAGAAAAAGAAGGAAGAACAAGAATAGAGGTAGGAAGGAACGAAGGTGAAAGAGAGCGGCCAGAAAAAGGAGGCGAAGAGGGGAGTCACGCCTGAGGGAATGCAGCGTGGGAGCGGCTGTGCCAGTTCGCTTCGTGTCTGGATTAACTATTAAACTATTAGCCTAAACTTTCGAACAAACCGTTTCGGACCGATATTTATCTCATATCGTATATTGAATTATATATATGCCATCATAAATAAATAGAAATTATAGCGTGGATGAAATAACTTGCTATATTATTTATAAATTGCTATGTTATAAGAAAAAAAAGAAAAAGAAAAAATGACAACCATATTCGTTTCGCAAGAGAAGCCTACACTTCGAATACGTATTCGTTGCGATTTGTGATGGCATTCGCATGCAATTTAATTTCAAGGTAACGGACCTAATCGACCGAATGAGTTTGACACATATAAATAGAACGATAAAATTTCACATTATAAATGAGATGACAGAAAGATTAATTATATCTGAAAAATATTCGAATCATGATTTACATCAGAAATCAACTCCCCGTTAACACGCGACTTATGACGTTCTAATTACTTTGACCTTCCGCCATTTATACAAATCTTGCATCGTGACTTGTAAATCCGTGGAATTTTCCTGTTGACGTATAGAGAAGAACGCGGATGACTAATAACATTTATAAGCTAATGGCCTCCATAGATAATTATATAATACTTTATATATATATTCGACATATTCTTTTATTCTTTTATTCTTTCTAGATAACGAACAAATACGAACAGAAAAAGAGAGAGAAAGGATGCCAAAAAATTTTCAACAATCACCATTTCTCTCCTCAGTATAGCCAGTTGTGTATCCAATGTGGTAAGCTGTCTAGCAGGAGGTGATGGCCTGGACGATGATTGGATCGGGGTTTTACCGCCTCTTTGCGTTTTACTGGAAGATCTAGTGGGTGGCGGAGGTGGTTCGCAACCCTCGCTTCGTCCACCACTCAAATTAAACCCACTAAGACTCCTTGGTAACGGTGGTAGACCTTGCAGGGAAGACATAGCGATCCTTTCTTGTATGCTGAAAAAGGCGAGAGTTTCGTTCAGTCAACGAAATTGAGAATGGAATAAGATCAAGGATCGATCAATCCCCTTTTAACGATCACTTGAAACTCTACTATTAATTCGAAATCTATCAACGATCTTCGAAGCGTTCTTTCGACTGTGTACGGATTTGTTATGCATTCGGTTATTCGTTTCGACACCACCGTTTCGCACGAACGAAGCGACGAAGTAGGTTAGCAGGTAAAGGAAATTAGAAACAGGACGATACTCTGATATTGCGCGCAGAATAAAAAAACGGTAAAGAGCATTCGACTCTGCCATTCTATTTTGCACGTTCCTTTTTTACCACTCGTTTTATCACGCAATTAAATCGTTAAAGCAAAAATGTGTAACACGAGAAACTCTTGATGAATCGAATCACTGGATTATTATATACGAACAAATCAACTCTTGCAATAGTTTTACAAGCAATTATCAAGTTTGTTTACAATAAAATATATCAACACGATTAATCAACACGTCAGTATCGATCGATCAAACTTCTTCCAGCTTTAAAATTACGTTACATCGATGATTAATCGGCGAACTACCTTGGAACATTAAAGTCCCCGAATTTCTCGTTTTCACAACGATCAAATCCATTGACTCGACTTCCATCAATGACGTCGCCATCTTCCCCGGACAATCTGATCTGCGTGGACGAATAATGAACACCGGCTTCCAACCAATCTTGTCGATGAATGTTGTCATTGTCGTTGTCATTCTCCGCATCCTTGTTGTTGTGGTTGACATGGTGATTGTGATCGTCACAGTGATCAGGATGATCGTTGGATGCGGCTTTACGGTCCGATTCGTCGATAACAACCACCGTGGCACGGTCAACGTTCGAAACGTTCGAAGATTGGGTCGTGGTGGAACTTTCCGCGCTTTTCCTCGTCGCGTCTCTATATTTCACGAGACACGATCTCTGGGTTGGCGTCGGCCGCGTCGAGCCATCGGCTTTGCTTCTCTCCGAGCATTGGGTTCTCTCTGAAAAACTTAGGCCCCCCCTTTCCCCGTTTTTCTTCGATTCCGAAACGTCGGGCGAAGCGTGACAACACTGTACCTCGTCCAGAGATACGCGCGACTCGATCCCAGTAATTTTGGCATCGCTGTCGCAATCGATCGATTCCTTCGCGCGAGAAGTCGACTCTGACTCGGTTCTCGCCTTCTCGTTCCCGCTCGTTCTATCGATATTGCTTATCGATTTCTCGCTTACCGGCGATCTCTCATCAGTGGTGGTTGCCCCGTTGAAGGAGCGTTCCTTGGAGGGCACGCGTTCGAGCAGAGCGGAATGACACGGGCTCGAGCGATCCTCTTTCTCTCGCGGCAGAGGAGGCGAGGAAGAAGCGGCGCCGTCGGTGTTGGGGCTCGATTCAGTGGAATTTGGCCGATGTTCCTGGTC